CCTACTCGGTAGCTTGTCTGCTGTTGTCGACACGTTACTGTCCGTCGCCCCACAACGCTCCTGGCCAATCCCCCTTTTGGAGCGCAACTCGTAGCCCTACAACCCTGAATCTTACTAACTTTCAGTCAAAACTAACGCCGAAACCGGTTTCGCCCGACCTCTAAGCCTCAAGGTCGGCCCTCAACTCGACGGGATCGGTCACGATGTGACCGAGGTAGCAATTCTCTCTCTCTCTCACTCCTCCCTCCGCCATTGTACATTGCACTGAATTCCTTTACTAACTTCTACCTTACTAATTTTCGTCCTTTCCTGTCGACGGATTCGGGTTCGCGGGGTCTAAACCCCTCTGTCTAACACTTTGTCCCGCTCGATTTCATTGAGAAACGGGCGGGCTACAGAGTTTTAGCCCCTCCATAGCTCGGCGCAGCTCTCCCTGCGCCTCGCATGCACCTGGACGCGGCTTCCGTCCGGGTTCGCTCAGCCCCCTTTGCTGCCTTGCCATCCGTTCTTCCTTCGCACCGCTGCGTCTCGTTATCACTCGTTGTGACCCCGCACATATCCGGCGCCAAACACCGCCCCCGTTCACTCGTCGTCCCCACAGTTGTCGTCACCACTTTATCGTTCCTCCCCGTAGCGCTACTCCCCTTTCACGCCCGATCTCCACGGGAACCGACTGTCGGAAGMGGAAMAAAAARMCCCYGYTGCTYACGTTATATGCGTTGGCTTCGCGCAGGGGCCACRCRAATCTTYTCKGTATCGTTTCAATTCTWACGGATGTCCCGAAGGACTTCGACCGTGGCCACGCTCCGCGCCCCCTTCRCAATMTGACGCTTTTAGAGTCACCCARCCTYGCTGGGCCATATACRAACCTGGCCCTCTCTCGAGGCCGGGTACAGACAGGTACCTCCGCCGTATACCACAAACCTYCGCAACGAYGGGCACCCTRGCCCTCTAGCCYCCCACCTTGTTTTAACGGATACCCCGAAGGGCTAGCCAAAGTAGTGTCACACCCGCGGCCCTTCAAGACCCKARCACCCAACCACACTRCCGCAAAAATAATARGAACGAAAATAATATAATAACATACATAAAACGAAAAAATCCTAAATCAGGGGCGGGAACTGCCGGTACCCCCACCGGTCCCGTAGGCCGGGTCCRTCGCCCGCGCCTACTARCAAAACCAAGGGGGAAWGGCCTCGTCAGGCMCTCAACCCCTTCAGTTTTCTTCATGACGCTCCGCYGCTGCCACACCGATGCCCGCTGACCTCGATCCTGAAACCTCCGTAGCAATAGTCCAACACCGTAACCCATAGGGCTAAGCCCAAGCCTGGGACAAATGAGTGCGGACCTCAATATGAAGTGGTGTCGCGCCGCGCCCCGGCCTGGGAGCCACAGCCTAGGCCTTGCCTACTGCTGCCGGCATGCCAACATCAGGTACCCGTGCCAGCCTGCTTGGACCACGTCGTGGCCGCCCCGTGCGCCCACTGGCGTGCCTGTCCCACCGTTGATTGCGCATGCTAACCCAAAAGCGAGCTCTCGTCCGCTAAACAAGGCCATAGCATGGTCCAGGTCGGTCGACTAAGCCGGCCGCTCACTCAATCAGAAAAATCACTCGCGCGCCTTAAAACCGCGCGCCCACATACCCTCTAACCTTAGTCAGGACGGGCCCCGGACGCGGCCATACCTCGCCCGACTTATACCGACCAAGCCCATTCTTTTTTCTGTCACTTGCAAAAACCAAGTCGGATACCCTTGTAAGGGTATTCGCGCCGACAGCGCGGATCTTAGAGCCTGCTGGAGGGTCGGCTTTCTCTCTATGATTGAAAGAGAGTGGGCCGCCACTGAATCAGATGATCTTAACGTGTATGGGTAGTTGACCAAAGATCACTTAGTAGGTATTAGGTAAGAAGTTTTATTGGTTAGGGTAGGATACGCGGTTGATTTCAGTTTTTTTTTTTTTTTTTTTTTTTAAGTTATCATGGTTCAGGGCCAGGTCATCTGCTTAGGTTAAGGGCCTGAACCACGTTGTCAGTTATTGTCTTATGTCACACTTCTTTCTCTTTCTCTTTCTTCCCCTTTCTCTTTCTTCCCCGTTCTCTTTCTTCCCCCATTCTCCTCCTCTTCCCTATTGCTTTGACTCCCGTTTCGGTTAGGATGTCGGGTTTTGTGCGAACTTGTTACACGTGTGGATTGGCGGGACACATTCGGAGGGAATGCCCGAATAGGACACATGGAGGCGGCAATACCTATGCAAATGCAGCAGCAGGAGCAGCGCATCAACCGCTGTTGACGCTTCCAGCTCCTCCGAATACCAACATGCAGGTGCAACCGGTTGTTTACGGTCAAGCGCCTAGGACAAGCTGTTATCCAAGGATGGGTGATAGGGTTGATAAGATTGAGTAAATTGTGAGCAGGCTCGACGCAACAGATAGGATACTGCAGGAGGAGGAAAAAGCGAAGGAGCAGAAAGAGGAAGAAGAGAGCAAGGCGAAGCGGGATAAGGAGCGTGAGGAGCTCGAGGCAACCATAGGGAAGCATATGCAGAAGAATTTCGGAGGCATGTACGAGGTGCATTTTTGGAAGAATAAGAAAGGCGAGAATGAGGAATTGAAGAAGTTGAAAAAGAAGGTGGAGGACCTAGAAGCTGCCGCAGCTAGCACTAGCAATGCGACCATACAAGGAGAGTCGGGCGCCCAAACGACTCGACTCGTATCCCCTGCCATTCCACCAGAGTAATTTCTTTGGGGCGTGCATAACCTCTTAAACTCTTACTCTGCTGGTAGACGTAGGCCCGCAGCCAGTTTGTGCTGGCTTGCAGCCATCCAATAGGGGTTGCGCCCTAGAGGTGCTAACCTTTACCGTTTAGTTTGGTATTCCCTAATACGCCTTTTGATTAGCACAGGTGTCTAGGCGCTGTTTCGCAAAACAAACTCACAGGGCCAATGCGGGACAACGCAGGGATCTGCCCTTCTTTTAAGGGTATTTACCAGCCCCCTATGGGACAACATAGAGGGCACGACCCCTTCTCACAATCACAAACAATTTCACCGCTAGACTCACACGAGGCCGTGGCCTACTGACTTGATCAGAGACAGCAGACCACACATCCCATAACATCTTTATGCACTGACTTGCGACCTTCTCTGTTCCACCAATGATTCCAACTCGTAACCCTGGTTCCTCTCGTCAGACTTTATCATTCAAACATTGCTTACCATGTCCTTAAATCTATCACCCATTTTTCACATGAAGGGGGTCTCTCCCAACAGGTCTCCCAGCCACCCTTCTCTTTACAGGATGGACTATCACGCGACCTGGGTTACACTGCTGTCAATAAACAACATCCCCACCTTCCATAATCCGAGGGGTCTCAATTATAGAACAACTTAACTAAGGGGCCTTCTTATGGGCCGTCTCCCCAACTTAAACGCAAAACAACTCAAACTAAGGGGCCAACTTATGGGTCCCCTTCACAGCTCAGCCATAAACATCCGACATGGTAAGCATCCGAACCTTATAGGCTCGCAAGACCCCTCAGGGTCCTCATGCATCTGTCACAAAAACCGACCACGCTGCCTCCTCTTATACTCGGCCGTTCCGCCCACCCATGGGCAAGCCGCACGACTATACCGAAGAGTAGACGACAATCAAATCACACAATACACATACATGAGATGTATCCCACACATCTCTCACACAAAACCCTCATTCATTGGGATAAAGCCACACGTGTGAGAGTGATCGTGATCGTCACAAGAATAAGTCCCACAGAGTCTGGAATCAAAGACATACTCAGGAGCAAAATATCTCCCTCGAGTCGCAATACGATACTCAACTCAAACCCTCAACACACAACTCGTAAGGTGTATTTGAGAACAAAATGCCTGCCCCGAAAACACTCAAATACTCACTCCACTGTCTCACTCCGCAGGATAACTCACGTCCCAAGTTTCATGGACTCTCAGAACCTACTCAAAGATACAAATAAGAGTATCTGAATCACACAACTAAAAATGGAAGTCACGTGTGTCGTAGATATCATACAACTAAGTCTCATCTCCTTGACTGTATCACATATAAAGCTTGAATCGATCACACACCGCCACCTATGTATACACGACTAGACGGGACTCGCCTGACTAACTCAGAGTATGTACACCCCTATCACGACCTCTGCGTACATAGGAGCTCTAATCCTACTGTCATATAGATGGACCAGCCCCTACTCACTCATAGCGTCCTGGTTCTGTCTATATAATTGTGCCCTACCCCCATTTGGAGCCCTCTCTACCACTCGCTCCTGCCTGTCGTACATTCTCCCTCCACTCTCTGTTACTTTCCCAGCCGCCTTGTCCTTAAGGAACTTTAGGCATTCAAAAGCTCTTTGTACGCCGTCCTTGCAGAAGAAGCACTGATCGTCTGATCTCCCTCGAGACCTCCTCTTCTTCTTCTGGGACCCAGGCAATGGCGACATCTCGCTAGTTTCCCTGCTCATCTCATGGCTCTGGGGCATACTCCATGACTCTGCCGGCCCCGCCTCCATCATCTGGGTACTCGTCCCTGCTAGCGCCTCACCTCCCTCGGGCAACTACGCTGGAGTGTCCAATCTCAGTGGCCTACCCTCGCGGACTCCTCCCATCGCAGCCGCCTCCTCGTCCCTATGCCGGTCAGAGGGCTGGGGAGTCACGACAGTCGCTGGCTCGCTCATAACTTTCAGCTGCTGCTCTTAGATGTGCTCTCCTAAGTCATCTCCAGTAGCCCAAGAGCCTAACTGCGTCCTCAGCTCCCCTATCTCCGGCACACGCTCTGGGGTCTTCTGTCTCTGATGCTCTCCTGACGGCATGTCCAACTCCATAGCTACCACTAACTCATCCAGTCGAGACGCCTTTCCCCCATTGCCTCCGACTCAGTGGATGCTGCTAATCCCGTAAGGGCACCCTCCTGCACCTCCAAAAGGATCGTAGGGGACTCCTCTGTGGGGCCCCCTTCCTCCACTGGAGGTTGGGGGCCCTGCACCGGCTCGCCTTCAGGGATCCCAATCGTCATAGGGGTGGCCTACTGTGAGGCCAACTCCGTGGGAGTCCTGAAGCTGAACCTCCTCTCCTTGGCCTCCCGCCTCGCTGCCGCCTCTGCTGGGTCCAGGAATACCTTCGCCATTCCCTCTTGCTGTGGCGTCTCCGTCGTTCCTTCCTGGCCAAAGAGCCCCTGTACCTTCTTCCCCTGGATACCATACCGACTCTGCTCCGTCCAGTCGACCGCCTTAGTGGTCGAGAGCCTTTCTACTATCGCCGCCATGTCCTGAAGCCTCTTCTCCCACTCCGCCTCCTTGGCTTCCATGCGGTTCCTCCACGCCTGGTTCTCTGCCCTCTCTTCCGCCAACTAGGAGGACAACTGTCCCACTTCTAACCTCGAGGCCGCCAACTCATCGCTGAGCATGGAGTACCGCTGGAAGGACGAGATTGCCACCTCACCTATCCTCCTGTCTGTACGCTCCATCTCCATCCTGGCGGCTGAAAATCCCATGTCCTCAGTCTCTCGTGCCTCGTCCAATCTTGCACTCCCCTGTCCTACCTCTTGCGACCTCAGGCGAGTTCATCCCTCTCGCTCTCATAGCTGGCCCAAGCCTCACTAATCCTCTGCTCGCTTGTCGGAGGGTCAATTGGCGGCTTTGGCGCTTCTCGTGCGGCCTCCATCCTAAGCTTTTCCTGGTATAGCTCTTCGAGGCGTACCTGCACCCTTGCACGCTTCTCTTCTTTCGTCTCCCCCGGTGGCCTCCCTATCCTCGCCTCGTGACCCTCTCGCAATGGATCTCCCTCATTTGTCCCCTCCTCTGCGGGTGGCGGTCCTGGCGGAGGTTCCCCGGATGTCAGCACCTCCACATCCATGCGTGCACCTGTAGACTCAGTTAGTTGCGGCGCCACAGTAGTAGGTGCCCCCGCCTTCTCGCCCCCCTCTGGCTCCACCTGCGTCGGGGGTGGCGTAGTAGCTTCCGGTGGGGGCCCCAACATCTCCTCGTTGATGGCTCAGGAATTCCTTCAGGCCAATACTGCCGCGCCTGTTCTGGAATCGGGGTAGGAGGAGGGGTATCATCCCCAACAGTGATAACCCCCTCAGTCTGCGGCTCCTCGGGTTCGCGAGACCCCGCCTCAGGCCCTGACTCAGGTGGCTCCTCCTATGGCTCATCCTCCACTGGCTCATACCATGCCAGTCCGCTCTGGTCTGCTCCCCGCTGTGACGCCCCCCACTGGGACGCATCGAGATGAGCCTCCAACCTGTCGAGTGGCGTCCTCAACGGCACTGCCCGTCCCTCCTCTGGTAACGTCGGCGACGGGCCCCGTAGATCACTGCCCATGATTCGGCGAAAGTCCACCTGCTTGAGCCCATAGGTAGGGGGTAGCTCCGCCGCCTGAGCTGACCCCGCGGCCTGAACTGGCTCCACCGCCTGGGCGGCCTCTGCTGGCCCCTCTCGCTGTGCCAAGGCCTTTCGGCCCCCTCTGGTCGTAGTGGCCCCTCTCGCCTCTGGGCCGCGTAGCCTCTTACTCCTTTGTCGTCTCTCCACCCTGGCTCTGGTCTCTCGGGCTCGAGTCGTCGAAATGCCTGTCTCAACTAGGCCTGGCAGTCCTCCCAGTCGTGTGCCCTGTCCCGGATCTGCCTCGCCAATGACCTCTCCGCCCTCCGTGTCCAGAGGGGCAGCATCTGCATCCACTCCTCCTGCCCAGTCCCCTGGTCGCGCATATACTGCTCATAGGCCGGGATGAACTCCTCCGCATTGCCTTCCTCCAATCGAATAGGCAATCCATCCGGTCCCATCGGCGARGCCCTCAGCATCTGCATCCTCGCCTCCACATCCTGCCATGTCAACGCCTCCTCTCGAATGTGCGCAATAGGCACCTCGAAGCGCCCAACTCCCCTCAGGTGTCGTATCCTCTCCAAGGTAGACCAGCCCTCCCGTGTCGCATGTGCCTGGTAGGAGTCCAGAAAAAGCTCTATGTTACCGTCGTCGAAGATAGGCGTAGACTCCCTCCCAACCGGTCTGCGTGAGTCATCCCTCCTGATGCTCCCTGAGGCCTCTGTCGTGGCCGCGCGCCCCTCCCGCTCCTCTGCATGGCTGTCTTCGAAAAGTCAGACCTGCACAACAGGCGAGAGAAAGCAAGCAGGCTCACACTAGCCCTCGGTTCATCAAGTTTTTATGACAATACACATGCCTTTTCCTGCTCTCTCTCCTGTCCTGACCATAACATGCGATACCTCAAGGACTAGTCTACTCTGGGGAAGGTAGAATTCTTTACCTATTCCCTGGCCGCGAACTTCTTCAGCCTGGTCCCTGATACCCAATCCTGCCAGCCTGTCCCGTGCAGCTCCTCGATCTGATAGGCCCCAAATTCGCCGCACCGCAATATTCTATAGGGGCCCAACCATCTCTTGTCAAGCTTCCTCGACCATTGCTTTTCCAAAGAGGAGTCGTATAATAATACAACATCCCTTACTGCCAATGACTCCTTTCTTACCCGTGCCATCTGGTCTCACCTCATCTTATCTTCCATGCGACTCCTTTCCACCTGACGAGCGGCCTCTCGCAATCTTTCTTCGGCCGCTCCCACTTGCCGCGCCCGAATATCGAGCAGTTCTTCGAAAGACAGGTTTACCTCCAAGTCCTGGCACCTCCACGTCTTCATAAAGCTTTCTATGGGAAAGGTGGCATGCCTCCCGTACCATAGCGCGGCTGGCGCGTACTTGGTAGTCCTCTTTACCGTAACATTCTCCACGAAGAAAGCTGCCCGTAGGAACTTGGGCCACTGACCAGGCTTGCCCTCTGTCCACTTAGCCAGGAGATTCATGATGGTACTGTGCCCTCTCTCCACAGGAGCGTTCGCTTGAGGGTGTGCGGCCGTAGTATAGTTGGCCACTACGCCATACCCTGCAAGCAACATCCTCACCTCATTGCAAGTAAACTCTGATCCTCGATCCATCACGAACTCCCTGACGAAAGGGTATCGCAGGTAATACTCCTCGATGCAGTTCACCCAAACCGGGTCAGTCTTCGTCCGGATAGCTCGTCCGTCCACAAACCCTGTAAGGTTATCCCGTGCATCGAAGATGTAGTTACACTCATTCTCCCCTGCTGGCATGAATAACAGGTCCATGTGCACGACCGCACCCACTTCCCTTTCTAACCTTGGGTGTAGGGGTTCTCAAGGCCTTTGCGCTGACCTTTCTTGGTAAGGTATACAGGACCGGCAGTATTTGATAACCATCGTCAGCGTCCCGTCCCAATGGTAGAGCTCGCTTATCTTCGCGCATGTGGCACTTACCCCTCTGTGCCCCCCTGCTATACCATCGTGTAGGGCTGCTATGATATCAATTTGCCGGTTTCTCCCACATACGATCCTTTTGGGGTTCCCGACCTGCCGCTTTATAAACAAGTGGCCGTCTCTTACCACATAAAGGTGCCTCATCTTCTGTGCCTTGGCACTTGCATCTCTATCCCTCATCTCACATGATAGGAGCAACCCCAATTCCCGGTAGATCCCATCGTACTCCTCTGCCCGAAACGCCTCCTTGATTTCTCCTTCCTCGAATTCGTCGTCCCGGCTTTCAGGAACCAAAATCTCACCTTCTGCATGACTGAACGAGCCCTTCCGGTCAAAGTCTCCTTGTAGGAGCGTATTGGTGAGCAGGTACATCCCTCCCATTAGCTGGTCATGCTCCTCTACCTGAGTGAGGCCTTCCTCTATTGCCCTCACTTCCTCCACCAGACTGTGCGTACCTGCCAACGCCAACTTCATCATCCAACCAACATCTTTACTTCCCCACGGATCCTCCTCCTCAAAGGGCTTGAGGACTAACTCTTCCTTCTGCTCGTACCCCTTTAGCGCCAGCCATATGGGGTGACTGACGCAACTGGGCACTCGCAGAGACCATTCGTTTATGTGCAGGCGGACGTCCTCCTCTTGATAAAAAAACCCATCAACTGGCGGCGTGTCTTCTATCGATTCCTCATCCGATCCGTCCCAGTTGATGCGGCTTAACCCATCTGCCCTTTTCTTGTTCCCTGAAATCCTTTCCAGCTTGAAATTAAACATCCAAATATAGGTCAACCATCTTGCGACGGTTGGGTCAGATGGAGTATAATTCTTCAGGGAACATGCAAGTGCACTAGGGTCCACCCTCAGGATGAGCCTCCTGCCAAAAACATAGTTCCGGAAGGTCCTTAGGCAATGAAGTACCGCCAACGTTTCCTTCTTGAACTGAGAGTAGTTCCTCTCAGTTGTATTGAGGGTGCGACTTTCGAATCTTAGCGGCCTCTCCTTCCCCTCAGTATCTGCCTGAATCAGGACTCCTCCCAGGGCAGTTGGCCCAGCGTCCGTCTCAATGACGAATGGTCTTTCCTCCGTGGCCTCATAGTTTGGCGCTCCCAATACCAAACCTCCTTCCTTAAACTCTCCTTTCATCCTACCGACCGCCTCTTCCTGGTCTTCACCCCAGACCCATTCTTGATCCTGGCGCACCAACTTCCTTAAATGCTCCGTCTTCGTGGCAAAGTCCTTCACGAAGCTCCTCCAAAATCTGCACATCCCAAGAAAGCTCCTCACATCTGTTATCGAACGGACGGGCAACGGCCACTCAAGAATCTTGTCTGTTTTTTTTACGTCAGGCCTTCGCCCGCTCTCATTACAGACAAAACCTAGAATCGTGGTCTCCCACATACAATGTTTCGACTTGGGGCCGCTCGCCGTCAGGTTATGTTCTTCCAATAATCCCAGAACCTGATCGATGTCTTGAACATGCTTCTAGACAAAGCGCCGCACACCGGGCATCACTTCGTCTTCCTCCTTCTCCTTCAGACCTTTGACCGCCAGGTCATCGATATAGGGCTGAGTGATATGTGGGCTGACCGTCTGCATGGCTCTGATCATATGCCTTTGCACCATCGCCACTGCATTCGTCCAACCTTGAGGCGCCACGTTCATATGAATCAGCCCTCTGGGAGTGTGCATTGCCGTTACGGGTCTGTCTGGCGGGTATACGGGGAATTGGTCATACCCCGAGTAGAGGTCTATAAGCGAGATTATAGCTTATAGACCTCCCTGCGCACGATTCTGACAGTGCGTCCGCGTTCGACAATCCTCCCGCGTCCCGCACTGTCACCGCATTTAGCCGTTGCAAGTCCTGCACCCACCTTAGCGTCTCATTTGGTTTAATAAAACAAAACCAAGGCGACGCGTACGGCCCACTGGAATAATCGGCCACGTGCGTCCGCATCTTGCCGTCCAGGTAATCCACCACCATCTTTTCCTCGTCCGGATTGGGGTACCGCGCGCCCCTTAGATTCCATGACTCATGTGGGATTGTGTGGATCCTGATCATCGGGATCTTGTCCACATCCAGCCTCCCACGCTCGTCGTCGTTGAATGCATACGCGCGGTGCCTTTTCTTTATCAACCCCACCATCAACGCTCTCTCCTGGGATGCCAGAAAGTCGGGCTCCCCAATTATCAGCTTCCCCTCATTTTTATCGTTGATACGGCACGGCCCGGCCAACGCGTGCTCCCGCATACGGTGTATCAACTCTCGCTCCCGCTCGTAGTGGGCTTCCTCATCCTCTGTGACGAGCACGGGAACTGGGCGACACTTCTTATCTATGGTCTTGTACCGCCTTTGGGAACCCTGCTTAAGCCCTCCCCTAAAAAAAACCGACTTGTCGCTCGGACCTGGGCCATCGCAAGGCCTCTCCTCCCTTCCGGAAGCCGATACACCAACTCCACCTCCCCCACCTGAGGGTTCTCAAAAACCTGTTCCCTCAATGCCTTACTAATGGCCTCCGGATCTGCCATGTCGTGAGCCGATACCTCCTCCATTGCCTTGTTCACATCTGTGAGGCTCAGTGTCAACACCTCAGCCTTATCTTCCTCCTCGGGCACTTCCCAAAGCCGTCTTCGCTCGTTCTCTGATTCCTCGAAGATGAATGACCCGAGATTGGGCCTATTCCTCCCGCTCCTCGGCCCCGTGTTTCGGCAAGTGACAACTTCGTAGTTCCCGCACGCTGGGTCGCATAGGAGCAGGATCATTGTCCCGTCGTGCTTATTAAAAATCAACATCTCCGTTCGACACAGGAACGACCTTCCCAGAAGGATGGGATGATCGACATCGGGCATGACGAAAAAGCACGTCCTGGCTCGCACCTTCCCAATCTCTATAATCACATTAGACGCCGTGCCGCAAAAAGCGGCCTTGCAGTTGGCGCCATGCAGCATGCCATGGTCCGAGCGGTCGATCTCCATGCCTATCATCACCGCCTCCTTCTCTCTGATGATATTCATTTCTGCGCCCGTGTCCACCATCCCAGTGCACTTCTGGTGTGGCCTTCCAGGAGCTTGTCCACCATCCGCTCCACATCAAAACCTTCCTCCATCCGAACCGCGTACTTCTTCCTCTTAGGTACGCTGTCGGGTAGGCTCGGCTCGGCCTCCTCCCGGGCTCCTCTCTTTTTGGCCCTCAGCTCCGCCCGCTGATCCTCCTCTTGTCGGAGCCTCTCATCCTCTTCATCGTCATCCTCTTCCTCTTCCTTCGGGACCTCCACCACCTCTTTCCTACGTTCTGGCTCAGGCTCCTTTCGAGGGGGTGCCTGACTGGGCTCTTGGCTAGGCCCGGCCTTGTTTTGGCTCCTAGTCCGAGCCGCCTGCGGTACCCTGCCATGCGACGTGGGGGGTCTGTAGGCCATACCTGACCTAGGGCCCGTCCCTACAGTCGCCACTCTTGGGCACCCTTGTTGTCCTGGCAAAGGCTCTGGCCCGGAGTCATAAAGGAAGACCTCAGGCAGGTTGGCCTCTCGGACTTCTTCACACAGGGCTTGCAGCTTCCGCTAGTATCTCCCCACCTTTTCCAGCAGATCTTTCATCCTTCCCAGGAGGAGTGTAGCCGGCTCTCCTTCGCCTTCCTGCCCCTCATCATCCGATTCGACGACTATTGGCTCCTCCCTTATAGCCCCTGCCTTTAGCCGCTGGTTGACCTCCTCGTTATCCCCCATAATCTCCTCGACCCTTACGGTCGGCTCTTCCTTCTCTTGCCACATCCTAAACATCGCTGGGGGTGCTGTGGGCCCTACTGCTGCTCGCCGGAGATCCTCTTGCCTGATTCCTCCCGGGGTCCTGGGGTCAATATGCTCACCCCACTTATCATTTATGTCCTCGTCCATACAATAGGAGATTAACCCTGACAATTCATCCTCCCGCCGCCGCTCGCAGAACCGCACCGTGTGGCCTACATCGCCACAATGCCAGTAGGTGGCATTTCGCCAATCAAAGCGGGGCCTCCCATACCCTTGGCCCCCTCCCTGGCTGCCTCGACCACCTTGGTCCTGGCCCCTTTGATCATTCCAACCACCTCCGCGATCCCCACCATTTCCTCCTCGGCCCCGGCCACCACCTCCTCGACCCCCTTGACTTCGGCCTCCATTGCCTTGTCCGCCTTGTCCTTGGTTTCCTCCCCCGGCCACGCTGACCTGCGAGGCCTGTTGGGAGGGAGGTGGTTGGGCCACAAACTGACCCTGGGCCGCAGGGTAGTTCGGGGGCCCCATACTTGCCGGTGAGCCCGCATAAGGGACCATTTTCCCTGGCTGGGTTTGACTACCCCCGCACGAGGTGCAGTGATTACAACTGGGCCAGGATGTAGGCTGACAGTGCGAAACCCAATGCCCACAAGCCGGCGGCGGCCCCATACATGACGGTCCAACCGTCGCTGACGTTGTCGTGGCAACAGGTGGCGGCGCTGCAATCGCTTGCGGGACCTGCCCTTTTCCGGATCCTTGACCCCCCACTTGTAAATTCCGCTGCTTTCTCTGGGCCTTGGTTAGGATCTGGGAGCCCGTCTCTTCTCCGCCATAGTCCTCGCGCCTAGCCTCCTCTTCCACTGCCCCCGACGCCCGGCGTTGGGCTACGGTCATTCCCCTCTTTTGCAGTTCCGCCTCATTATCATACCTCAGCGCTGCCAATACGTCCGTGATGATCCTCTTCACCCTTGGGATCCCGGACGCGGTGGCGTCCCTTTCCTTTCTCTTGCGCCTTTGCAGCCGCACCTGGTGCTGCTCCACCTGGTCCAGGCTCCCCTCTTCCACCCCTTTGTCGATAGTGGCCCAGGTGAGTTTCTCATTTCCCCCTCCGTGACCCGTCAGCTCTGAGGCCTCCGAGCCAGTAAGCAGACCCAAAAATATGGCACACTGGGTTTCTTTGGAGATCCCGTGCACCTTCCGCACCTTCCTTTTAAACTCGTGCACAAACGCCCCAATCGTGGAGAAGTCATCCTTGTTCATGGCTTCCAAGTCCGCCATGGTCAGCAACCCATCCCCCAACCTGTACTTTCTCTGCATCATGTCCCTGAACCTCGCCCAACTACCATTGGCAGCATCCACGACGTTGCCCACTTCCTGATGGTGACTATGAAGGACATATCTTAGGACTCACTGGAGCTTGACCTTGTCCGACAGCCCCACCAGTGCTTGCTCCGTCAGGTCCAGCCAGTCAGACACCCGTTCTCCCTTGAAGTGGAAAGTATCAACCTTCGGGACATTGCTCGGCGCCCTCTCGCGCTTATCCAGGGCATCGATGAGGTCGTCGAGCGTTACAAGCTTCCTCCCACCATCCGCCATCTCCTCAGGCATTTTGATTAACTGCCTTCGGCTTCAATCCCCCTGTTATAAGAAGCGATAGGAGGAAAGGTTCCACTCAGCAGTCCATTCCTTCATGATCCTACCGGACCGCCACCTAAGCACCCGACGCTCTGGACCTGGCAGACATTTCCCTCTCTACTTCCTACCTCCCTTGGGTTCACCGAAGTAAGACCCACTCTCATCACAGAATTCACTTACATGCCATCAACCAAACCATCAATCAAATCAACATTCATACCCACACAGCCATATAGACTACTATACAACCCATCTCATAGTTCTTCTCCTATTTACTCACGTGCCTAGTTCTCTCTCATTCTCATATTACCCGGATGTCGTTCCACCAGGGACAACGGTAGGCTTCCGTTATCCCCGGCAACGGCACCACCTGTCGAGCGCATCGGTCCGACACCGCACGTGGCAGCGCGGGACCCTCTCGGCCGCGTCACGCAGGAGTTGGACCAACCTCGTCACGGACACACAAATGGAGCTTCCTTAGGCCGCTCCGGCCGAGTGCGCCAGCCATACCTCTCGCGAGCCCCTACGACAGGATAGGGCCTACGCGAGGCATGACTTACCTTCACCTTACGGGAGCTGTCACCTCCCTTCGGTGGGCGTTTCCCCGCCGAGCCATCAGTCCACAGTACGAAAGCTACTCGGTTGCAATCGCAGAGGTGGACCAGCAGAGGGCGTTTCTCGTTCGCTGTAGCATAGGGGGTATGCGAGGTAATACGCCTATCGGACCCGCACGCGGGCCGACATCTTGGGGGGCTGAAGTCCCAAGCGTGGCTCGACGTTGGTTGACTAGGACGCATCCCACACACCACTGGCACACCACTCTACGAACACAAAAACAATACATACGCGCTCGCACACATTGCACAAACGACACAACACGAACAACGCGATAACGCTCCTAGTCCCTCGGTAACCAACCCATTACTTTCCGATGCGGAAATCGGATGGGCGTCGCGTGCGAGACTTATTATAAAAACCGCGCGAACGCAAGGCTAACTCGTATCGACTCGCAATGCAAACGTACGCAAGCAGTCGCAATGATGAAGTACTATGTCGTGCTCATAATCGTGCAACCGTCGTTAATTTCGAGGGTCGCATTCGACACTCAAGTGTCGGCTGACACACGCCTTGAGGGTTAATCTCTCGACGCTGGACAACCGCCGTGCGCGGTTGGAGACCACACCCTCTTCTGCACCCTGTGCAGAGGGGTTGAGTAGACAACTTTAATCTGTCGTGGCGGTCGAACATCAAGGGGTTTGACTTTGACGGCTGCCACGGACTATAACGTCCAACTATGAAAACGCAAAAAGGAGACTCACTCCAACCCCCATTAGCTGATGGCCCTAAAAAATGAAAAGGGGGTGGATAAACCCAAACGACGCGCGCGCGGAGGAGGTCCGGTATCCTACCCATAGGCTACCCGGCGTCCGGGATAATGAGACCCGTACACAGATTCCCAAAGGCTAACCGGGGCTAGTCCTCCGCCCACGTGCTGCTTCACGTTACCAAGACCCCAAGTTTACTGGCCGTGTCGCACTCGTGATCTCGTCGCCTGACCCATAACTCTTTTAGCGCGGGATGCGACGAGTGCCGCGCGCGAACTTAGTATAAGATCGCGAGGGCGCTGGGCTTACACATACTATCTCGCTATGCAGTTCTACGCGAGTAACCGCGATGACGGTGCATTGTGTAGTGCCCACACCCAGATGGCTTACTCTGAGCCAAGGGATCATCTTTCGACGCTCAGGCGTAGGCTGAAGCGCGAGCCAACGGGGGTAACCCTTTAGCGCGCTCAAAACTGGCTTGAGGGCCTTGCCGTCTTCTGCACCCTGAGGTGTCCCAACGGGTGCGGGGCAGGACGGCCCCTAGGGCAGGAGGGAGTTTAGAGCGGTGGTGAGTTGTCTGGCGCATCACCAGCAACACACTGACCCTTCCGCCCAGAACTTTATCGTTCCACCAAGATGAATGGCAACAAGGAAAAGAAACAAGAATTGGCGAGGGATACCCCCCCCCCCCCTTTTCTATTCACCCCAACCTTCGACTAACCCTTAGTACGCGGGCGCTTCAGGCCACGCTAGCTCCACACCTAGGTACACATGCACTGACACATATATATATATATATATATGCACAAGGGGGATAATTATGTGACGATGACTTCTCACAGTCATAGTGCGTCTCCTCCTAGCCATACATATATATGCGACCACAAGGCAGCCCAACCAAACCCCAAGTCTTTGAACATACCTGCAATCACATCAAAAGTCAGACAAGAGTCCACGCACTACGCGGAGTCAACTCCAACCAGTTCCTATACTCATACCCCTCTCTTTAGCCATGCAAACCCCAACCTCCAGCCAACCAACCTCAATTCAATACTCAGTACCTTTGTTAAATTACCATTCAATAAAAGTCCGAGGGAAAACCCTTAACAAACAAAAAAATCACCAAGGCTAAAGTCTTTTAGGTTGAGTATGGGGAGCGAGTAGGAATTGAGTCGTGAGCCGACGAATCGGCAACCGACCTGTTATCAGTGATAACAGAAAGTGATCCTTGTAGGATCAAGCTGACACTAGCCCAAGTCCTAAATCGAATGTCCAAGAAAAACTTGTACCATGAGACAGGTTAAAACCCAAACTAAAACATCAGCCTTTGGGGAAGAATCTCCATAGTACATCCTCACTCATAGCTATGTGCCAACTAAGTCTAAGCCTACCTCTACGCCAGTGCCCAAAGCAAAGGTAGACTAATGGCAGAATCTCCCCTATTTAGGGTGGATTGCCAGAATCGCCACCTGTCGAAATATAATCCAACTCCTCTAAATCACAAAAAATTCGGCAGCGCTTCCCGTAGGAAAAGTGTTTTTTCAAAATTTATATCAGCCCAAGTACAAATCGGAAACAGTCGTTGACTTTCCAAAGTCCAAGTTTTGTCTAACTCCTTGATTTAGCAAAAATTTGGGCAGCACTCTCTTTAGAAAATGAGACTTTCCAGATTTTTACTAAGTCATATATGAATTTTAGACAAGCTGAACTCTGAAAATCAAGGTTTTGACTAACTCCTTGGATTTGCAAAAATTTCGGCAGCGCTTCCCGTAGGGAAAGTAGCTTACCAAAATTTATACAAAGCCAAGTATAACAAAAGGTCCCAGAAAATGTGAGTATCGATCTAGGTAAAAAAACTTAGCTCAGAAACTGCAGGAATTGACCTAACTCCTATTGCTCTAGAACGAGGCGAGCCTCTAAAGCAACTACCTGTCAATCTGACACTCAACCCAAGTAGTAGCCTCACTCAGTCTCATGCAGGCCAACCCACAAAGGTAAGTACTCTCGTCTCCCCAAGTCAAACTTTGCAAACAATAGTTCGTAATCTCTCAATGCTTTATTCCCTTATACCCAGCTTACATAGGGCATAAAGTCAGACCGTCCAATCTTATGGAACTTGCTGACTCAGCCAATGAGTATACACGAACAAGTTGCACAACTACTTCTCTTTTCCTTTTGGGCATATGACTAGGCCGTTCATCTTAAAACAAGGCTTAGTCGCACAAAACTGTTTAATATCTAAATTATATATACTTCTCCGAGCTTCGTGTTCAACAACGGGGCATAAGACTGAGCCGTTCATCTTAGAACAAGGCTCAGCCTGCCCAGGGTTACCTTCAAGTATACTCTTAATTATACTCTCTTCATTTTATGATAAGCTGTAGCCAGACCGTCCAATCCTATGGAACCCATGCCTGACTAGCTTGTTCATAGATATGATAGTATAAAATATAGCCAATTTTTAACCCTTTGGGTTCCAGCATGTGCGAGGCATTGGGCCAGACCGTCCAATCTTATGGAACTGGTCTGGTACTCTGCCAGGTTCGTTTCTCTTTGATCCACTGTGTATGGCATGAGAGAAGGCCGTCCAATCTTATGGACATGCCCTGCCCTCAGGAAGGATTATCCCCTTAGAATAAAACAAGAGGGGGGCTGAGCCGTCCAATCTTATGGACTTGCTCAGACCTCCTCGATCAGAAACAAAAGAAACAAAACAAACCCCAATCAAACATGGCAACCAAACCCTCCAATCTTATGGTACAGGTTTGGCCCCTGAAAAGTCAGCCACAGTCAAGCCCTCACAATTCAGAGTCATTTGACCCTCGAATCTTATGGAACTGGTCTGACTCTCCATGCAATTCAAAAAATAAAACACAGCGGTGAGGCCGTCCAATCTTATGGATTTGGTCTGACCCCATATGACCCATTCACGCTCAAGCAAAACCACCTTTCACCCACCCTTTCCCCAGATGCAACCCCTTGTGTTCACAATCTGCCTTCAGGCAATCAACAACACTGAAACTGCGATTGCACACACATTCCTTTATTTAGTCTTACTTGTGTACTGTCAGTTGAACCAAAGTCAAAATAGGGGTGCACACAGTATACTCAGCCAACATAACAGGACATACAAGTAGGGGTTATACCAGGAGGTATAAAGCGAAAACAAAAGGTCACCTTTCAGTTCCCTGCCTCCAAAGCCTCGCCTAGGCTCCGGCAGAGCTCCCGCAATCGGTGGGGCAAACCTCCCACAGAGGCCTTGGCACGGATTACGGGTTGCAATCCCGCCTGCCGCCTTCCTCTCAGAACTAACAGACTAGACTTAGAGTAAGAAGGGAAAAAGGAGAAAAGTTTAGACTCTCAGATCCAAGAGGGGTGCAGTCAGACTCGCAGGAGAGGGCCTCGATATCTTCAGTCGCCTGAGGGCCCCGCAATGGCAGCCAAAACGCTCCGCCGCTGATCAAACTAACGAAACTTGACCCACCGACGACTTCTCCGATCTGCAGCATTGACCCTCTTATTGTTGCCTAACCACTCCCCCGGGTCATAACAGCCACGTACCGCTGCTACGCTCAAGTAAAAATACAACCTCAGTCTGTCGACACTGCGTGCCCAGCAATTGTGCCCAGCAACATGGCAGGGTCAAACGAAATTCCGCAGTAAACCAATCGTACACAATTAATCAGAGGGGCATGACAGCCGCAGGCCTGTCAGTCACCAACCGTGTGAGTTGTGCTAGGGGGAGTAGACAGTCTGCATCCTCAAGGTCCACCTCCAACTCCCCTATTCCGCAGGCTGAGTGACTCACCAGTCAACAGGTAAGCCTGCAACTTCACTGCCCTCCTCCCGTTGTTACTTCTCCCTTTTCACCAGCACGACCAAGTCCTTAATGCATCGAGTTGTCAACGGGGCGGAATCCGCCTGATACGATTGGGAAAACAAACAGTAGGCCAACTGCTATAAACAGGCTGGCCGACAGCAAGCCAAGGGCCACGGCCAGAGTGGCAATGACGATCCGCACCACTGGTAAGATCGTACCTCCCCCTTTCGACACTGCAACCCCGCTTTCTCTTGGGTGGCTCCGCACTGCTAACTTAACCCTCGGGGTAGCTCCTCTCCTCTCTCCCTCTCTCCTGCCTTAGTGAAACAATGGCAGTCTTGACTAGCCATGCTGCCGCAGAGCGCCCGTTGATACCGGCTGTGGAGCGTTCCCCAAGTCTTGGCAGGCGTTCAACTTGCGATTGGGCTCACACTCCTGCGATCCGTATGGTGGGCCACACACCGGTCGACCAATAGGCCTCCGATTCCGCATCTCCAGGCCTTTGCCGCCTGTTCCCTTGTCTTCACAGCTCGCACACAGTCAAGCCATCCGTCAGTACAATCAATTATCAGCCATCGGGTGAACTTGCAGGCTCCCGGTCAGCCTCCAGCCATCCCGCTCGCGCTCCCGCCCACCGGGAAGTGTGCATTCCCACCCCTGCTGCTCACCCGTCCCTACTCGGTAGCTTGTCTGCTGTTGTCGACACGTTACTGTCCGTCACCCCACAACGCTCCTGGCTAATCCCCCTTTTCGAGCGCAACTCTTAGCCCTACAGCCCTGAATCTTAATAACTTTCAATCAAAACTAATGCCAAAATCGGTTTCGCCCGACCTCTAAACCTCAAGGTTGGCCCTCAACTCGACGGGATCGGTCACGATGTGACCGAGGTAGCAATTCTCTCTCTCTCTCACTCCTCCCTCCGCCATAGCTCATCGCACTGAATTCCTTTACTAACTTCTACCTTACTAATTTTCGTCCTTTCCTGTCGACGGATTCGGGTTCGCGGGGTCTAAACCCCCTGTCTAACACTTTGTCCCGCTCGATTTCATTGAGAAACGGGCGGGCTACAGAGTTTTAGCCCCGCCATAGCTCGCCGCAACTCTCCCTCCGCCTCGCATGCACCTGGACGCGGCTCCCGTCCGGGTTCGCTCAGCCCCCTTTGCTGCCTTGCCATCCGTTCTTCCTGCGCACCGCTGCGTCTCGTTATCACTTGTTGTGACCCCGCACGTATCCGGCGCCAGACACCGCCCCCGTTCACTCGTCGTCCCCACAGTTGTCGTCACCACTTTATCGTTCCTCCCCGTAGCGCTACTCCCCTTTCACGCCCGATCTCCACGGGAACCGACTGTCGGAAGAGGAACAAAAAGCCCCTGCTGCTTACGTTATATGCGTTGGCTTCGCGCAGGGGCCACACAAATCTTTTCTGTATCGTTTCAATTCTTACGGATGTCCCGAAGGACTTCGACCGTGGCCACGCTCCGCGCCCCCTTCGCAATCTGACGCTTTTAGAGTCACCCAACCTCGCTGGGCCATATACGAACCTGGCCCTCTCTCGAGGCCGGGTACAAACAGGTACCTCCGCCGTATACCACAAACCTCCGCAACGATGGGCACCCTAGCCCTCTAGCCTCCCACCTTGTTTTAACGGATACCCCGAAGGGCTAGCCACAGTAGTGTCACACCCGCGGCCCTTCAAGACCCGAGCACCCAACCACACTGCCGCAAAAATAATAGGAACGAAAATAATATAATAACATACATAAAACGAAAAAATCCTAAATCAGGGGCGGGAACCGCCGGTACCCCCACCGGTCCCGTAGGCCGGGTCCGTCGCCCGCGCCTACTAGCAAAACCAAGGGGGAAAGGCCTCGTCAGGCCCTCAACCCCTTCAGTTTTCTTCATGACGCTCCGCTGCTGCCACACCGATGCCCGCTGACCTCGATCCTGAAACCTCCGTAGCAATAGTCCAACACCGTAACCCATAGGGCTAAGCCCAAGCCTGGGACAAATGAGTGCGGACCTCAATATGAAGTGGTGTCGCGCCGCGCCCCGGCCTGGGAGCCACAGCCTAGGCCTTGCCTACTGCTGCCGGCATGCCAACATCAGGTACCCGTGCCAGCCTGCTTGGACCACGTCGTGGCCGCCCCGTGCGCCCACTGGCGTGCCTGTCCCACCGTTGATTGCGCATGCTAACCCAAAAGCGAGCTCTCGTCCGCTAAACAAGGCCATAGCATGGTCCAGGTCGGTCGACTAAGCCGGCCGCTCACTCAATCAGAAAAATCACTCGCGCGCCTTAAAACCGCGCGCCCACATACCCTCTAACCTTAGTCAGGACGGGCCCCGGACGCGGCCATACCTCGCCCGACTTATACCGACCAAGCCCATTCTTTTTTCTGTCACTTGCAAAAACCAAGTCGGATACCCTTGTAAGGGTATTCGCGCCGACAGCGCGGATCTTAGAGCCTGCTGGAGGGTCGGCTTTCTCTCTATGATTGAAAGAGAGTGGGCCGCCACTGAATCAGATGATCTTAACGTGTATGGGTAGTTGACCAAAGATCACTTAGTAGGTATTAGGTAAGAAGTTTTATTGGTTAGGGTAGGATACGCGGTTGATTTCAGTTTTTTTTTTTTTTTTTTTTTTTAAGTTATCATGGTTCAGGGCCAGGTCATCTGCTTAGGTTAAGGGCCTGAACCACGTTGTCAGTTATTGTCTTATGTCACACTTCTTTCTCTTTCTCTTTCTTCCCCTTTCTCTTTCTTCCCCGTTCTCTTTCTTCCCCCATTCTCCTCCTCTTCCCTATTGCTTTGACTCCCGTTTCGGTTAGGATGTCGGGTTTTGTGCGAACTTGTTACACGTGTGGATTGGCGGGACACATTCGGAGGGAATGCCCGAATAGGACACATGGAGGCGGCAATACCTATGCAAATGCAGCAGCAGGAGCAGCGCATCAACCGCTGTTGACGCTTCCAGCTCCTCCGAATACCAACATGCAGGTGCAACCGGTTGTTTACGGTCAAGCGCCTAGGACAAGCTGTTATCCAAGGATGGGTGATAGGGTTGATAAGATTGAGTAAATTGTGAGCAGGCTCGACGCAACAGATAGGATACTGCAGGAGGAGGAAAAAGCGAAGGAGCAGAAAGAGGAAGAAGAGAGCAAGGCGAAGCGGGATAAGGAGCGTGAGGAGCTCGAGGCAACCATAGGGAAGCATATGCAGAAGAATTTCGGAGGCATGTACGAGGTGCATTTTGGGAAGAATAAGAAAGACGAGAATGAGGAATTGAAGAAGTTGAAAAAGAAGGTGGAGGAACTAGAAGCTGCCGCAGCCAGCACTAGCAATGCGACCATACATGGAGAGTCGGACCTCGAGGCTCGAGGTATTAAGAAGACAAGCTGATGAGGCAAGGAGAAGGGAAGGGGAATTGTTTAGGACGCCGGCCGCCGCGCATGCGAGCCCAAGGGGGTCAGTCCGAATGAATGAGTTTACTGAAGATGCAGACAGTGAAATCACCAGGATACGACCTGAGATGCAGGAATTACGGCAGAAAACTGAAACAGGGCGTATTGGGTTGGAAAGAAGATTGGAGGAACTCGCACTCGAGAATGCTGAATTGAGAAGGAAGAACGAGCTAGCTTGTGAAGAAACATTAGTTTGGAGAAACGAGGCGCTACGACCAGGTAATAAGAGTGGACAGGTGGCTGTACAGGGTGTGGCGGCTACCGATAGAGGACAACTGCGTACAAGATCGCGCACGGTTACAGGATGACAGAATCCGGCATATTAATCAATCATGGAACTAGAGGAATTGAGGGCCAAGCACCAAGCAACGCTGCAGGAGGTGGATGTTTTGAAAAAGATGAAGGCGCAAGCACAAGCCGATGCCATAAGAATGAAGGAGAAGGTTGAACGACTGACGGCAACAGGAAATGTTTTTGCAACGCCAATCAGTATTTTGAGGACTAGGATGGAACAAGCAGCGGTTGGTAGTGTCGCTAAAGGGAAGCAAAAGGTCACACCAGGGAGAGCCTCGACGACTGCTAAGGAGGTGAATGACCGGTTCCAGTTCATCAAGGAGCAGAAGGAGCTTGGGAAGAAGAATACGGCACAACTAACGGAGATATGTAAGCAGATGGGGATCTCGTATAAAAAGATGGACGTTACAATTGAGGAAATCATTGACAAGAGGGTTTCTGATGCCTTTGGCAGCTTCGCTAAGGCTGGAGGTCGTGGGGCATGTGGTCAGGATAACCAAGGAACGGACGAGGAGCAGAGTGACGATGTCGCGGAGGTTCACGAGGTGCTATCGGGATGTTAATGACGGTACCCTGACGCGACGCTATGGAAAGTTGTTATACAGGTAAAGCACGATAGACATAGTAATTTACGTGATTCCTCACTTACGCGATTCTTGCAGATGATGGTGATTTCTTTGATTATTGGGGGCTCGATTCCCTGGGTGCAGAAGTTTCGGGGTTATTTAACCGATGTGGTTGGGAAGGCTGACAATCTGTTGAGTATTGAAGGACCGTTAGTTTATGTGTTGATCTCACCATGGTGTAAGAATGCTTATGTAGGTTCTACAACAAGGAACTTGGATGTACGATGGTTGAAGCATGCCAGTAGAGCCAAAGGGAGTATGAGGGGAGGGAGACAGACCAGGAATCATAGGTTATACCAGTGGTTAAAAAAAGTTTAATAAGATTTAGTGATGCGTCTTTGAATTCGAAGTGTAGGATCCAAGAACCTGGAAAAAGGAGACAGCCGTTACCTCTCTGTAAGTGTGAGGAAATCGATCTATATCAAAAAAAGTTTAATAAGATTTAGTGATGCGTCTTTGAATTCGAAGTGTAGGATCCAAGAACCTGGAAAAAGGAGACTAGGAAATAGGGAACAAAATAGGCAGAAGAGGAAAACACAAAAGCCGGTTCAGAATTGTAAACACGGTAGGACGTATTTGGAATTTCGATCCTTGAAGGGACATGTCTCGGTTAGTCTAAAAAATATTCTTGATTCCTGTCGGGCGCTGAAGGTTAGGAGCGTTGAGGTCAGTTGCTATCCTTCGACCGAACTGTACTTCAACAGTTGAGGATCTTCGAAGACAAATAGAACGATCTTTCAAAATGACTCAGTTGTCGGAGCTTTGTTGGAACAGTAGCATTATGGATGGTGTGCACAATTGTTTGTTGAAGGATGGGGGGGATAGTTGCGGTATACCGGAAGATGAAGCCAAGCATTGGTAGAAAGTTTCAAGGGCTGGTGTGTTATCCGATAGACCACAACCCGAGGGATACTTTAGTATGTTGTCCAATGGCTTATGGTGATGGTATGAAAAAATGTTTGTAAGTAACCTTGGGTTCTCTTGTGTGAATGATGACGAACAAGTGGTGATACAGAGGATGGGGGAAACATATAAGGGTAGAGGGTATCAGAGCCTGGGTAGATGGAATGAGAAAGGAGAAATCGGGAAAGCCTATGCGATTCCTAAGCACAAGGAAATAATTAGATGACGCTCGATATGGCCATCACACTCCGAGCATGTTGTGATAGTCAATTCACGAGTGTCGAGTTTGGTTTGGAGTCTGTCGGAGAGAACGAACTTCAATCTGAGGAGCACGATGGATCTAGCTAAGGAGGTGCACAAAATAAACCAATACGTTAAGGAACAGGAAGGGGTTTTGGGTGCAAGTCACAACGTTAAAGAGATGTTCTGCAATTCGCCTCATTCTTCGGTGATGGATGTTTTGCGATGGATATGTGATTTTTGGATAAAGGAAGGGGTCGTGAGTTTGATGGTGAAAAAGAGGGGAAAGTGGGTTAAGTTTAGGTTAGGCAAACTGCAAGACGGATGGCTGGAATGTACTTTTGAGTCCTTGATCATCTTTATTAGCTTTGACTTGGATCATACTTATATTAAGGCTTCAAACGTACTCTTGAGGCAGACAGTGGGCATTCCGATGGCAAGGCATTGAGCCCTGCCCTCGCGTGCCTGCTTTGTGTAGATAATGAGTTTGTATTCCTCATGTCACTAGGTATTGATCGATCGCCGATACATGGGGTCAGGATGATTGACGGTGTTTTCGTGTTCATGAAGTTTAAAAAGGGTGATGGAACATCCAAGGAGAAGGTCATGGCACTGATTAAGGAGTTTGAGGGGGCCTATGATGATAATTTGACCCTAGAAAAAAACAGTCGGGGCAACTGGTGGAATTTTCTTGGTTGTGTGGTGATGATAGGCATTGATAGCCCCAGAAGAAGGGAAGATTGGGTGTGCAGCGACACATAAGAACCATCGGTTAGTTCTTGGTGGGTCAGACTTGTTCCAAAGTCTCCAGGACTACGTCTCATTCTCTTCTAGGCGGCAGAAAATGGTTGTGATAACTTCCTTCCTCCATCGGACCAGAGCAATGACCACAACCGAAGGGTTGAAAGGTGCCTTTCTACTCACTTTGAAGATTGAGCTGAGGAAAAAATGTTTTCACGATGAGGTGTTTGATAAAGCCCTGATAAATTATTCAAAAAAAATGGGGGGAATATGAGGTGCACGGGTAAATGCTTTCACTCGATGGTAAGCGCAGGCACTACTATTCTTGTCTGCTATATTTTTTTCAGTTCTGTTTTTTCTTTTCTGTTTTTGTTTTTTCTTTTTTGTTTGTTTTTTTGTAGTAGGTTTGTAACAGTGGCCGCAACCTCGATTGGGCTGAAATTTTTTGGAAGACTCCGCGGATCGGATTGGGTTCAAAATTGTTTCTCGGGAATCTGTGTGCGTCTGTGGGTATAGGATACGGGACACGTGGTGAGTAGCCAAACTGACCTGAAACTGGGCATGAAATTCTTGGGGTTCGAAAAATATTTTTTCAGTAACAATGTGTTTAACTTAATGCCGGGGCCATGGTTAGGCTCAGGTTGCTAGGAGGGTAAGGATCTGTTTTTTTTTAGGTTCATATGGAAGGAAGCCGGGATGCGGGGTGGCTGCATGGTCAACTTAGTACATTACTTTTACTATATAGGCTACTTAGATCGCACGTAGTTGATCAAGCGACATTAAGACCCCTGAAAAAGTCGGTGCGGCGATCGGCCGAAACGTGTAGGGTCGAAGGCCGATATTTAGTAGCCATAGCTGGACATGTTAATTTTATGTGGCTACTTTGTTGCGCCTGGTATTAACGACATATTTTTTATGTGCGGGTCTGTGTTTCCTCTTCAATTCTCCTCTTTTTTTCCTTCTTCTTCTTCTCCTCTACTTCTTCTTCTCTCTTGGTTGATGATGATTGACTCGGGTGGATTCATTGATTGAGGACTACACCTCAGGTCATCTACCCCTTGGGTGGTAAGAGCCCGCGGGAGTAGAAGCTTGAGACGTTCCGATGGTTCCTTTTTTTTTTTTTTTTTTTTCTCTATTGGTGGGGAGTTGCACCGGCTGCAAACCAGGTAAAAAAAACGTCTCTTTCAATGGAAACAACATCACGTAACTTCTCAAAATTCAGAAACTCTTTGGGCTATCAACAACAAAATGAGACCTTTTCGCCCCACGGGGCCTGAAATGAGTGCGCATGAGTGCGCATCTAGTCCCACTACCCACTATACCCAGACTTGTAACAACCAATTCTGAGAATCATCGAGTTCTACCTTTAGCTCAACAAGTGAAGACTAGCCTCCAGATAATGAACAACATAACCTGAACAAGCCTATCCTTTTGGCAACTACCTTTGCTTCTATCAATAACACTTTCATGGAGATCTGGAACCCCTCAACGAAGGTTCAATGATCCCTCTGTTTAATGATGTTCAATAATTCAAATGATCTCTCTCTCTCTCTCTCTCTCTCTCTCTCTCTCACACACACACACACATACACACACACACACACACACACACACATCCCTCTGTTTAATGATGCTCAATGATTCAAATGATATATCTCTCTCTCTCTCTTACACACACACACACACACACACACACACATACACACGCACACACACACAGACACACATACACAAACACACTCGAAGCGTTCTCTCTCTGCATCACATAATTCTTCAATCCCGTCTCCTCCCCTGCTCATCACGAGTTTTTTCAACACTGTCGTCTTCACTCTCCTTCTGCTCACTGCCTTTTATGTCGTTGGAAGCTTTGAAATCTTCTCTCCTGTCTTCATTTATTTTCTTATCCCAATAGACTGTACCGCCCAGTCCTGCGTTATCATCTTTCCTTTCTTCATCCCTAGTCTTCTGATTCCAATGGTTCATACCACCATAATCCTCCTCCTTCTCCTCCTATTAATCATCATCATCATCACCACCCCCACCACCACCATCACGGTGACCGTTTTGAGGTGATTCCAACGATTCTAACGTTTCATTATCACAATCTTCGTTGCCATCCCAGTCGTCTGATCCAACGATTCATATCACCATTATCATCCTTATCATCATTATCACCATCATCATCAGTATCGTCATTATCACCCCCCGATCTGTGAGTACCATCATATTTATTCCTTAGCTCGACATCCTTCGCTCTCAATACTCCATCCTTACCGTTTTGAGGCCGATGGCACAGCCCTATCACACAGACCCATCTAAGTTCACACCCCCAGTTCAAGCACCACACACTCAACTCCATTGGAATCTCGCCGTCGTCTCGTGGCTTTTCCAAACAATTGTTCCTGAAGACGGGTCCTCGTTGTTACTGACTCTCACATTCCTTCCTACAACTCCGCTTCATCACTCTCCGTTCGGGAGTGGAACTCTCATTGGGACTGAAACTCTTGGGGCTGGAACTCACGGGACTGGAACTCTTGGGACTGAAACTCTCCTCTGGATTGGAACTTTTGGGATTGGAACTCTCAAGACTGGAACTCTCGTCGGGACTGGAACTCTCGTCGGGACTGGAACTCTCGTCGGGACTGGAAATCTTGTGTGCTCGGCTAAGGTTCAAACGCTTGCCTTCGAGCTCTGCTGGCCCTGGTGTTCACCCCGATGTCTCTTCCCGCTTTCCTTCTTCCCCGGGTCCTTCCTTGTTCAAGAAACCGCCCTACATACTCTCGCGGTGAGTACCACTACCTTCCATTTCTCAATTGCTGCCACAAATTTCAAACTGTCGACCTTTGGATGAAGCTCCGCATTCAACACAAATTTTTAGAGATCATGAAGTTCTTGTTCCCGTGTACCCGCCCTAGCGGTGGGAAAAGAAAAATAAAAATAAAAAAATCCTAGGTTACCAATGGTCTGGAGACCGGACGTCTCCCCTGAACGTCTCCTCCAGACGTCCGTGGTCAGGGTTGTCCGGGTGTGCAGAGTGGGGCAAATAGACTCTGCACGGGGGCAGGTTCCTTCTCTGTAGAGTCTAGGGCTTAGGATGTCCTGGACAAGGACCTTGAATCCCGACCCAGGACCAACGTCCGACC